GTCCAAAGAGGGCAGCGGGATCCGGACAGAGCAGAGATGAATGGAGCCTTTCCTCGGTGTCACGGATGTGCTGACAGACCTGGAGAGGCTGCAGCTCTCTGCTGTGTTCACAGCAGCTCTGGCTCGGTGAGGGGTTGTAAACCACACTTGTGCTCTCTCCTCCGAGCAGCATTTCACACACAGTGGGTTTGTAGTTTTCAGATTAACATGTGGCAGGGGACTTCACAGTCCCTGCTTCCAGGCTGGCTCACAGAACAGCCACGCTCTAATAAAAATCTCCAAGATGCCCTGCCTTGTGTGTGGAGCGGAGCAGGAAGCTGCCTGGGCTGCCAGAAGCCACTGAGCTGCTGAGGCTGTCCGTGGATGATTTCACAGGAAGGAAGCAGAGGCTCGCTCACCATGTGGAGAAGAAGTCGCAGCTCCCAGCCCGGCGCAGACACGGCCGCTGCCCAGCGCCGCGCAGGGGAAAGGGCTGAGCCACACTGATAAACTCGGAAGTAAACAAGACACAAGATGAGCTCGGCCCGAGGCACACACCGGTGACAACACACAGCCACCTAGGACTTGGTGAAAGTACAGCAGGAGCCCGAGGTTAAGGGGTTGTTGTTCCAGGAAGGGGAAAGCATTCCTTCACAACAAACGTGGGTCCCTGATGGCAAACAGCAGCCACCAGCTGGGAGATCGTTCCAAGTGAAAGGGAAACTGGTAGGATCGGATAGAGAGTAAATAAAGAGACTCCCATACATGAAACTACTCTCAGCCCGTATGCTGGTAATATTTTTAATTATCTATCTCTGAAGCACAATTTCGAACAAGATCTATCACCAGGAGGTGACACAGCAACAGCCCGATGTGAGCCACCATGAGCACCTGTAAAGTGAAAGTGTACCTGTGCCTGAGCAAGGGAACCCGACACCAGAAACCACCAAAGGATCACACCTCTAGCTCTACAGTTATCGGTGCTGAAATGTGCAAATGATGTTACACATGAAAGCAAGATCTTGAACATCAGTCTGGACACACAGAGCTGTAGAGACCTGTCTGCCTGCTGTGCCAGCAAAAGCCCGATGAGAAAGTAAAGACAGAGGAGCTGTTTCAAGAGGAAAATAATCATCCTGATTGTCTTTTCTGATTATTGCCCCTTCAGGAGAACCAAGTCAGAAATAAAAAAAAAAAATTACAAAAAAAAAAAAAAAAAAAAAAAAAAAAAAACCACCCCCTATTCTGCAAAAGTGAAAAACTTCAAGATGAAGTAAAAATAGTTGCACAAAATCCCATGTAACTGCAAAGTCAGCATGAGAATCACTGCTGAAAAAGATGCTTCACTTTTCAATAGCAAATAGCATAGTTCAGCTCACCAAGGAGAAAGTTTGGTGTCACATCTGACACCACCAATTATCTTTCCATCAAACCACCTCATCTTTAAGCCACCTGAAAAGAACACAGTTATCTGAGGCAACATAATGACACAGAATTTTTCTTTCCTTAGGAAAATGTATTGGTCATGACAACAACACGTTTGAAAAAGTCATTCAGTGCTTGTAGGCTGCAACTTTGTCAAATGCAATTTCAATTTTAGCAAAAACAAAGAGGGCTGAGGCTGCATACGAAGCTTTTATTCCCTCCTCTTTGTGTGGCAGCTTACAAGGAATTTCAGCATTAATTTATGGTCTAAAATTAAACCAAAGAAACGGGATGATTCTGTGATAGCAGCAGCAGAGAAAGACCAGGTCCACATCCACCCTCAAGAGAACAGAAAAAGACTTTTTAAGAAGAGAAGGACAGACCTTTAACAGGATGTACAGGGGAAACATCCACTGCCACTGAAACACAAGCTAAGAGGACACTGGTGGATTAAAATCAACCAGATGAAGATATTTCCATTTCTACTACCTCAGCTGAGGCATGAGCACACCCTTCCCTGCACATTTTAAGACTGAAGACTCCCAAAGAGAATCAACATCTAAAATCCAAAATCTTCAAGAAAATACAAGGAAGGCAAAAACAAGTAAATACACTGAAAACTACAACAGACTAAAAAGTTTCCACAGTCTATTCAAAATTTTTAAAGGGTAACTTAAAACTAAGTTACAAGAAAATAACTTTAGTTCCACTAATTTAATAAAGTTAGTTTTTGTGCTAGGGAAAAAAAGTTGGTATTTCACATGCAAAGATATAATCAACTTCACACTCTTTATAAGACAATTACTGCTTCAACAATAAATTAGGACCCTCAACATCAGGCAAAACCAAATATCCTTGCAAAGAATAAAAGAGAAATCTGTGGTGTGCTAAGTTTAGAATTAAAAAATACATTAAGACCTAGAAGTGCAAGTTCCAGAAGTTTAGGCAGCTTTTAATCAAGTCTTTTAACTGAATGACAGTACTTTTATTATGACATTTTTCTGTCCTTCTAAAAAAAGTACACCAAAAAGCAACAGTATCAAGATTTTTCTGCAAAAGAATTCCCTCTCAGATTTTCAGATTCTTGACTTTTCACACTTTCTTGAAGCTAAAAAAAGGGTATGGACACAATGGCACAGCAAATTCAACACCAAGTCAAGAACTGAGACAGTGTTTGGGAAAAAGCAAAAAAGGATCATTAATTTTCTAATTATGGAAACAGTGATTTCATGACAACTGTGATTTCATGGGTACAAAAACCCACCTTACTCCTGACATAACAGCATGTTTGAACAAACTCTGCACGTTCAGTTCAGCCGCAATGCTTTGAAATCAGTCAGATACGGCCTCCTAACTTGCTTGATACTGTTTCCAGAAAAAGAATTAAAGACTAAAATAGCAAACCCTGTGGCAAATTGAGCGGTTCCTCTGGCAGGAGGCCAGCACCAGGGGCACCCTCCATGGGCTTGGCTGCAGAGCCCAGTTTGGACACCAACTGGGAGAGCAAAGCAGCTCCTGAGCATCAGCAGCGTCCAGAGAGGGCAGCGGGATCCGGACAGAGCAGAGATGAATGGAGCCTTTCCTCGGTGTCACGGATGTGCTGACAGACCTGGAGAGGCTGCAGCTCTCTGCTGTGTTCACAGCAGCTCTGGCTCGGTGAGGGGTTGTAAACCACACTTGTGCTCTCTCCTCCGAGCAGCATTTCACACACAGTGGGTTTGTAGTTTTCAGATTAACATGTGGCAGGGGACTTCACAGTCCCTGCTTCCAGGCTGGCTCACAGAACAGCCACGCTCTAATAAAAATCTCCAAGATGCCCTGCCTTGTGTGTGGAGCGGAGCAGGAAGCTGCCTGGGCTGCCAGAAGCCACTGAGCTGCTGAGGCTGTCCGTGGATGATTTCACAGGAAGGAAGCAGAGGCTCGCTCACCATGTGGAGAAGAAGTCGCAGCTCCCAGCCCGGCGCAGACACGGCCGCTGCCCAGCGCCGCGCAGGGGAAAGGGCTGAGCCACACTGATAAACTCGGAAGTAAACAAGACACAAGATGAGCTCGGCCCGAGGCACACACCGGTGACAACACACAGCCACCTAGGACTTGGTGAAAGTACAGCAGGAGCCCGAGGTTAAGGGGTTGTTGTTCCAGGAAGGGGAAAGCATTCCTTCACAACAAACGTGGGTCCCTGATGGCAAACAGCAGCCACCAGCTGGGAGATCGTTCCAAGTGAAAGGGAAACTGGTAGGATCGGATAGAGAGTAAATAAAGATAAAGAGACTCCCACACATGAACTCAGCCCGTATGCTGGTAATATTTTTAATTATCTATCTCTGAAGCACAATTTCGAACAAGATCTATCACCAGGAGGTGACACAGCAACAGCCCGATGTGAGCCACCATGAGCACCTGTAAAGTGAAAGTGTACCTGTGCCTGAGCAAGGGAACCCGACACCAGAAACCACCAAAGGATCACACCTCTAGCTCTACAGTTATCGGTGCTGAAATGTGCAAATGATGTTACACATGAAAGCAAGATCCTGAACATCAGTCTGGACACACAGAGCTGTAGAGACCTGTCTGCCTGCTGTGCCAGCAAAAGCCCGATGAGAAAGTAAAGACAGAGGAGCTGTTTCAAGAGGAAAATAATCGTCCTGATTGTCTTTTCTGATTATTGCCCCTTCAGGAGAACCAAGTCAGAAATAAAAAAAAAATAATAATAAAAAAAAAAAAAAGCCAGCACCTAACTGTGGATCCCAAGATATATGAATGCTTTTACAGAAGCATCTGTAAGAGGAGCACTACAAGACATCTCAGTTACAGATCCTGTATTTCCCTACACTAGGGATCCTTGCAAGATTATCCCTCTAAGGAAAGAAATTTTATGTAAAACAATTGAGAACAGGAGCACAAAATAAAGTTCCATTTATTTTGAAACTTTTCTAGAAGAAAACTAGGCGCCAATCACCCAAACACTGTTGTTTCTACATAAGAATTCTCACCTCAGAAACAGCCTAACACTAAAAAGGAGAGAACATTGTTTCATACGAACTACACAAACGCGCACAGTATTAACCTGTACTTCTCCCAAGTGATAGTAAACGTCCCTGGAGGAGTTGCTAACCCTTCTTTGCACGTCCGCCTTTCCTTTGCTCCCACCACAGAGCGAGCCTGAGGACGCCTAACGCTGCCCCTCAGCGCTCCCGACATGCGGGCGCTTCCCCCGCACCTCCCCAGCGCAACTATCGCGGCGCGGCCGCCGAGGAACACGCGGCCAGCCGGGAATCCCAGGATGGAGCCGGGAGAGAGGAAATGGAGACCCCGGTCCGCAGCGGGAGCTGCGCCGGCCTCAGGGCTCGGCAGAGGGAGGGGGGAGCGGGGCAGGGAAGGCGACCCTCCCCTCAGAGGGGCCTCCGGACACGCGGCCCTGCCCGAGGTGGCGGCGGCGCCCTGACCCTCCTTCCTCCCCCGGCCAGCGCGGCCGCCGCTCCAGCCAGGCCCGAGCCGGGGGGGAAGAGGAGCTCCCGGGGCTCCCCACGGACACGGACTGGCAAAGCCGCTCCGGGGGGAGCGGAGGAGGGAAACAAACCCGGGCGAAAGCTCACCGGGTCCGGCGGAGGGGGCTCCCGGGTACATGTCTCCGTGTGTGCGGCGGCGGAGGCGGCGGCGGCTCCAGGGGAGGGCACGGGGGAGGGAGCGAGCCCGAGCCCCGGCTACGCTGTCGGGGGAAGGGGAGGAGGAGGAGGAGGAAGGAAAGGGGAGGGGGAAGGAAAAGAAAAGGGGAGAGGAGGGGAAAAAAAAAAAAAAAAAAAAAAAAAAAAAGAAAGAGGGAGGAGGAGGAGGGCCGGGAATCCAGGTTACTCGTCGGCACTGAGGAGCGGGGAGGGGAGGAGGAGGAGCCGCGGGGTCACGGGGAAGGGGCGCTCCGCCCTCCGGCCGGGCGGGCGGGAAGCGGCCGCGGCAGCGGGACCGGGATCAGCAGCGCTGCCGAGCCGAGGGGCCCCGTTCCCTCCTGCAGCCGCTGTTCCCAGCCTGCAGCCCCCGTTCCCTCTTGCAGCCCCCGTTCCCAGCCTGCAGCCCCCGCCTGAGCTCTGCCCCAGCCCCGCTCCCTGCCAGCCGTCCCCGCTCCCTGCCTGCAGCCCCGTTCTCTCCCTACAGCCCCGTTCCTGCTGCAGCCCCCGTTCCCAGCCTGCAGCCCCCGCCTGAGCTCTGCCCGCGGAGTCACAGAATCAGCCAGGTTGGAAAAGTCCTCGGAGATCACCGAGTCCAGCCTATGACCGGGCATCATCACCACGTCAACCGGAGCAGAGCACGGAGTGCCATGTCCAGTCTTTATCCTTAAACACCTCCAGGGATGGTGACTCCACCACCACCCTCGGCAGTCCATTCCGATGTTTAATCACCCTTGCTGTGAAAAAACTCCTCCTAATGTCCAGCCTAAACTTCCCCTGGTGCAATTTAAGACTATGTTCTGTCATCCTGTGGCTTTCAGTGAGACCTTGGAAAATGACTTTGTGCCCCTAGCACTCTCTCCACTACCTCTCCCTGTTACATGTTTGAAAGGTATGCTGCAATTACATCAGTATTACACATACTGCTGGATCTTGAATTAAATTTGGATTTGTTTGTTTATATTCCTTTATTTCTCCTGTTGCTCTGAAAACCTCAGCTCAGTTACCTCATGAATTCCCATATCCACTTTTAGGCATATCTATGAAACCCAACTGTGGTGGGGTTGCCTTATTGTCCTTGTCAACCAGATAATGTCTGGTACTGTACACATGTAAAGTTTAGTACAACCAGACAATGGACCAGGGAAAACAAGCTAGAAAGGATATGAAAGAGGCAGAGAACTGATCAGTATGATGTCGTGAGACCTTGGAGATATCCCTGGGGGAATTTAAAAGACATGGATGTGGCATGTGGGGACATGGCTTAGTGATGGGCTTGGCAGTGCTGGGTTAATGGTTGGACTTGATGATCTTACATGTATTTTCCAACTTAAACAATTCTATGATTCCACATCAGAGATGATAATTCCTGCAGGAACTGTCATTATTTTGTAGTCACCTAATTAGTACCTCTTCCTTTCACAAGAAAGTAGGAAAAATAAACCTATTAAGGAGGCAAAAAGGAAAATGATGATGCTCACTTCCACTGGAGTTACCTACAGAGTTCCAGCACAGCCATGATCTATACTTTCAATCATCTCCTCCATGTTGATGTGGAAGCCTTTAAAAAATTCATGCAGTTTTTAACCCAGAACAGTCAAGCCCCATCAAAGTCAACTGAATTCCTTCACCAAGTATTATCTGCCAAAGAGCAAGACAAACATACAAGCTTGAAGTGTTCATCAAGCCAATTAATATCCTTCTTCATCAGTTCATGTCTCAAGTGATACAGAAGCATCTCACTGTTCCAAAGTATTTACTCTCCCCTTTGGGTCATACTTGCAGATATTTGAGGGCTGCTATTAACAGCTCAGCTTTCACTTCAAGTGAACTGTTCCTGAAACCATTGTCATCACTAGAGTTTCCACTGGAGTGATTTTGGATTTGTCTTCATTCCAGGCTTCTCAAATTGCTGGAAAGTAAAGATTTACCCGTAAGTGTAAACAAATAAAGGACAAAATTATGGGTCAACTTTAGTTTTAAAGTAAAGCCAAGCAGCTCTAGCAAAAAGATAAACAAAGGAGCTGGCAAAGGGGTTGCTATTTTCCACCCCGTGAGGGGCTGGGTAACATTTTTTCACAACCACCAATAATTTCTGGTATATAACCTTACTAGAGGCTGAAAAAGAGGGTGGATGGGGAAAAATCCTCCAAAACAAGAGCCAGAAGAGAATTATCTGAGGCACATTTGGCCTTTCTGCTGAGGTGGCAGGAGAAAAACATGCAGTTTCTGTATCAACATCTGATTTTTTGATGCTGTATTTAAACCAATCTCTTCAACCTGATTAGGAATATAACTTTCTCTAGGATTAGACATACTATTGTGCCTGTTAGACCTGCATTTAAGAAAGAAAAGGGCATAAAATACACTGATAACTTTCTGGAAATGTTCACAGGACTAATTTGGTCACCCTGGCTATCAGCACTGACTTAGGCTGAAGCTCCAAGTCACTACGGTATTGTGGTAGCAGTTTGAAAATAATAAGCTAACAAGCATCACAAGACAGGTGAAATATAAGGGGGGGTTTTACAAAATACTAAACACTCATCCCACACTTCTTTCTGGCTCCACAGGATCATCTGCAATTGACTTCAGAAGTTCCCTGAAAAACAGAGATCCTGAAAATGGCAATTAATGCCTTGAACATCCTAGACTGCAACATTCTTTTACTGATTTAAAGCTGATTTCTCTGGATTTAGCACTCAATAAGCAAAAGCATTTGTCACTGTTTATACAAGACTGTAGAACTTCACAGTCAGATAAATAATAAATTAGTTTTATTTGAGCACAGTTTTCCCATGTGGAAGTGCTGCTGTTCCTCAGGTATATTTCGGTACTGAGCCCTTCCAGCAGCATTTCTGTGCAGCTGAGGAAAAAGAGTTCCAGCTCTCTTCTACCTCTGTTCACACACTCATTTTGGGCCATGTCACTTGCTTTATTCCCAATGTTTTCTGTCACTCACAACTGCTGTTTTGGAGCACAGCGAAACCTAATTATGTCTTACTGGGCCATTTCACCCAAAAAAGGCTTCAGTTTTTGAAAAGGTTTGTTCTGAAAGAGAGGTTTGAAAGCTCTGTAACAGCATTCTTTTAAGCATGGTCTTTATATGCCGTGTTAACAATTATACAGTAGTATAAGAACAGCTGCTTAAACACTTAAAATTAGGTTTTTCTAAAGAAAAAAAATTAGTAACTGTTGTGCACAAGACCGGTCTTAACTGGATTTCAAGATGACATTTCCTAGAACTGATATCTGTCACAGAAGAAATTATTAGTTTTGGGGAAAAGCATGTTCTAATAATTCTGGAAGCAAGGATGGTATTTAGGAGCAGCATTTAAAAATCATTTATAGCAGCAGCAGCAATCTAGGGAAAGTATTTTGTATACAAATAGGCCAGTGACAAATGATACAGCTTTTCTTTTGATGAGAAAACATACCTTGATCTCCCTAAGTAACAACCATTCCCATTTTAAATGGAATTTAATGGAAATTAATTTTAAAACCCCAGAGTCTATAAATGTCTGACAGTCATTGCTTACAATGACACTGTAGCAAAAATTTTCACTCAGAGCTGGAAGATGTAAATTTTATTCTTGACTTGGAGGGGATTTAGGCTTATATTTGCCACCTCTCAACTGGCCTAACTTTTAATTTGTTATCCTGGAGTACATGCATTAGACCTGTCACATATTCTGCATTCTGTTTTATATAAGAATTTAAAATCAGAACCAAACTGAAGAAGTCCATGGCTCTATGCCCTAAAGTGTTCACATTTTGCATAGACTTTGAGGGTTCTGGTCCCCTGCTCAGGAATTGTTTGTTATTTTAACAATGAAATATTTAACCACAATTAATCTATGGTGGAGGGACCAAAGCATGATTTTTGCATTTCTATAATCAGATAACTGTCCCAACTACCAAGCTACAAAGCTGCATTTGATTTTTTCTGTCAAATGAATTGCAATAATAATTTATTTTAAAACAGAACAAAATAAAACAACTATTATAATTAGATTACTAACTTCAGTTCACTCAAAAAGACAGTTCTTCCAGGTGATCAGGGCCAACAATGTAACAATTCAACTTGATGGAAAAGATGCAGCACCACCTATTGGGGATGTGTTACACACACTGGTTGTTACAGTTTCAAGAAGTACCAGAGTTTTGTTCTTCATTGTAATCATATTGTTACAAGGGGAAAAAAAAAAAAAAAAACCCCAAAAAAAACAACAACAAAAAAAAAAAACCAACAAAAAAAACCCCAACAAAACAAAACAAACAAAAAAAAAACCCACAAAACAAAACCCAACACCAAAAAAAAACAAAAAAAACCAAAAAAAACACAAACAAAAGAAAAAAAAAAGCAAAAAACAAAAAACCACACACCAAAAAAAAAAAAAAAAAACCCAAAAAAAAAAAAAAA